GAGAGAGAGAGAGTAAGCAGCGCGCGCGTCGTCGTCAGTCGCTCGGTTCCAATTTGGCTTCGATTCGTCGCCTTTGTGGTGGATCTCTTTTTTTCCTCGGCTAAATCTGCGAAGGAAACAACATGTGACACGCTGGAGAAATGACACAGAATCGCGTTGTAAGACTTTTCCGCCGTTGTCGCAGAACGGCGCCGTCAATCGCGAGAAACAAACGCGCCGCCGCCGCCGCCGCTGCCGTGTCGCTCGCGTGCGCGCGCGAGAGAGCAAGACTCCTCTGCTTCTCTCTCGCTCTTTCTCACTGTCTCTCTCTCTCTCCCTCACACACACACACAACACACACACACACAGCTGCGCTTAACCTAAAACTGTTTCGGTACGGTCTCGTTATCGTCTCTCCCGTCTCTCTCTCTCATCTCCGCGGATCTCGTCGCCCGGTGCGCGTCGCCTCGACAAACGGTACGGCGTAACGTAGGAGAAGGCGACGCAAGGGAATCGATTGTGTCGATCTCGATGCCGTTTGATCGCGAGCGCGATAGACCGAGACCACTGAGTCTCTCGCTTCGCCGTCGCGCCTATCGGCGATGCTAACCTGCCACCGCTCTCGCGACTCGAAGTGTTAGCGTTCGACGTAAACGCGCGAAGAAGTAACTGGCGCACTCGGCGAACACTCGTACGAGCACTCGGTGCCCCCGTGGTTTTCCCCCCTCTTTGCCGAAAGTCCACAACCCCCAGGTAAAGGTAGAACTCTCTCCTACAGAGTCTCGCCCCCGTTGCCGCTGACGTGCTGATGATGATTGTGACCTTTGTGGTTTTCGGAGCAAGAATGTGTGTCTGTTGAGCAGACTAGAGATAAAGAAGCCCATAGTGAACAATGCAATAGTCCAGGGGCCTGAGTCCTTGGTGATAGCTGTGCAGTTATAGAGCTTGTGAGAGAGAGTGTGTGGTGTGCATTTCTATGTTCTGTGTCCTCTATCATCGTACAGCTGTCTGGACAGCTTCTCCTCGAGGGTCACGCCGCTTCTTTTTAGTAGAGTTTTTGATGTTACATGTTCTGAGTCCCATCGGACTGATGATGGTGTGATGATATGTCATCATGAAATGGCCTATATCCAGTCAAGAACCAACGTCCAGCTTTGCAGCGGAGAAATAGGACATGCTCGATGCAAAATGCCTAAATAAAGAAACACATGTTCTGGGAATTGATGGGTATATGCTTTTCCTGCAGGAGACCCACCAGTGGCAGGTTGAACAGTAAAATCTCTGAACATATCTCGGCATCAGTAACTCCTCTCCATGTTTGTCTGGAGGAACAAAGAAGACCAGAACTGGGCTCATGTGACGCTTCGCAAGCTCACAAGCCTCAGGTGTGTTTGCGTTTGTATTTTAGTTTACCAAACATATGCGATAGATATACTTTAGCGATAGATAGTACATAAAATTATTTTGTTGCTTATAATTTTGGTGACAGGTTAAAACGACCTTTGAGAATCAAAAAGCAGGAGAAGAGATCTCCGTGGAAGTGGCGGAGAGTAGTTCGATCGAGATCGAGACAGGAGAGTTAAGACAGAATCAGGCAACCATGGCCAATACGATCAGTAACATGAAGATGACCAACCCCATAAAAGAACTTGTCAGCAAACGTCGTAAACGTTTTACAGAAGATGGTTTTAATCTTGATCTCACATGTATCCTTTCATTTTTTTTACTCATTTGCACTACATAATTGTTTTGCGTACAGAATTGTCAAACAAATTTTTGTGCAAAAAGCAATAGAAAATAATTGAATACTAAAATACTACATTGTTCTTTGTACAAAGAGCTAAATGTGCTATTGATCAATGAATCCACTGATGTTGAATAAATTCCTTAATAACTGATATTAGATATAACGGGTAATTTAATAGCGATGGGTTTTCCTGCTGAGAAACTGGAGAGTATGTACAGAAATCATATTGATGACGTTGTTAAACTGCTAGAGTCCAAACACAAAGACCATTACAAGATTTATAATCTGTAAGTTTGGGAAGACAATATCGTTGAAATGTTTTTTTTCCCCACAATAAGTGGTTTTAGCGTAACATATTGTAAATTTTTAGGTGTTCCGAGAGATCGTACGATTGCAACAAGTTTAAGAAGAGAGTGGCCACTTATGCGTTTGATGATCACAACCCACCAAAGCTGGAGCAGATCAAGCCATTCTGCGAGGATGTACACTCATGGCTGTCCGAACACAAAGACAATGTGGCTGTAGTCCATTGTAAGGCGGGGAAAGGTCGAACGGGTGTAATGGTGTGCTGCTATCTACTTCACAGTGAACAGTTTTCCACTGCCACAGAAGCCCTTAATTTTTACGGAACCAAACGGACTCACGATAAGTAAATATTTGGAACTTACAATATTATTTCGACGTTTTAATAGTTTTTTTTCGAATTCTTCACTTATTTGATTTTATTGTAATCTAGGAAAGGCGTTACGATACCCTCGCAAAGAAGATATGTGGATTATTATGCTACCCTTGTCCAAGAGAGTCTCAGTTATCAGCCAGTGACGTTAATTCTACGTACGATACAACTGGATCCGGTCCCTATTTTCAATGGCGGTCAAGGCTGTGAGTAATTTGTACAAGAGTCGTACAGATTATTATTGTTAGCTTTCTTTTTCGCCACAACTTTGATTCGTATGTTAATATGATTGGTATAATTACATTACAATTTATGTACATTAATTTAATTATTATCTTATGGTTGGAAAATACATAAAACGTATGTTATGTGTCTGTTAGGTCTCTATTTTGCAATCTCGGAATCAAAGAAAAAGATTCTATTCGAGGATGTTTGCGAGGTTCGAAAGGGTACATCGTCTATAAGCATCTCATTACGACACACAGTCGCCCTAACGGGAGATATACGGGTAGATTTTTACAGCAGGCCAAAGATGAAACGACAAGTACATATCCGTATGCAATACTCTATCAATTTAAGCACGATAAATTAATGAATTATATTTTCAATCATATTTTTCAGGAAAAGATGTTTCATTTTTGGTTTAATACATTTTTCGTCCGCGAAAAAACGAATTCCGAGTACGACAATGGCGAATTACCTGTTGAAAGATCGGGAAGAGCATTGAGTTGCGATGGCACGGCCATGGAATTGTCGACGGTTATGTCACACGTAAAACCTAGAACGGGATCATTGGCGAGTCTTGGTCCCATGCCGCCCACTCTTGTTTTACGGATAGACAAGTCAGGATTGGACAATGCACACAAGGATAAACATCACAAGTTGTACAGTCCAGATTTTAAAGTGAGTTCTTTTCCGCACACACATGTCGATTGTTTCATAGCTTTGAATATTAGATATCTGGCTAATTAAAACTAGAATTAAAATTCCAAAAGTAAATGTCCAATGTCTTTGCAGTGTTTTTAAAACCTGACAGAGTTAACAAAAATTTAATATCAAATTCTTTGTCGATTAAAACGTCGGATTAAAACATTAAAGGGACGTTGAATTCGAGTGGACACTAATAAGATTTTATCAATTACAAGCATAACTTTGTAATACACAAGGTAGAACGTTCAATAATTGGTGATCTCTCTTAATTGCAGGTGAGTCTATTTATGCATTGCGTGGACGGGAGCATATCGTCGGCCGTGGCATCGACGGCGGGCAGAAGTGGGGACAGCGTACACGAGGCGATAGGCACGAGCGGGCAGGAGACGCCGAGCGAGTCGAGCGAGGCGGAGAGCAGCGAGTGCGACACCACCGGCGACGAGGACGGTTGGGAATCCGGTGAGTCCTCTGCATCCCTGGTGGTAAACCACCACCACGAACACCAACAACACCACCTCCTTACACACAGCAGTAGCCGTACACACGTTAGCAATGTCCGTCCGCGGGCCAGTCTCAAGGAGACCGCCAAGGGTTTATTGCGCGGCGACAAGAACAGAAGCAGTAACAGGCAGAGCGCTACCGGCGCGATAGCGAAGCGTTCCTCCGCTCCGCTCGCGCGCTCAGCCACTCTCGACACATAGTAGTCGAACGGACACTTTCGGTACTTAAAAAAAACGGTCTTCGGCGTTTCGCGTTTTTTTTTTGCGGAATCGCAACATGCGCGTTTTGTCCCCCTCCCCCCTTTTTTTCTTGAACGGCTTAACACGCATAGAGTGATGATTTGGATCCGGAAAGATCCGTCGTACAACATTTTTGCAGTAATCTCCGCTCGTTACGCCGCTTCTTTTTTTTTTTTTTTTGTTACGGTCGTTTCGTTTTTCATTCTTTCTCTTTCTTTCTCCTTCTTTGTTATGTCATGGGACCATGAGCTTTATTTTTTTTTGTATTGACGATTCGTGTCTTACTGACAAGCTACTGTGTTAATTGTTAGTCGATTCTTCGCGTAATGCTCGATAGTGAAGTAGTTGATATCGTTGAATGTACACCGAGAGTTTATTGAGCTTTTTTGAGAAATTGATCAAGTTGATTAGTCTTGCACACACCGGCAAGTGTGTCACCGGGGTAGCAAATGATGTGAAGTAATCCCAGTAACAAAAAAAAAAGATGCACATTTGAAACATGATGACATTTATGACAACTTTTTATCTTAAAAAAGTTCTAACGCACCATGTGAAGAAGAATGCATATTTTTGCTTCACTCGCAATTCGTATTTATATTTTTCATAAGATTCGCGCGATTCAAATAAATGATAGGACGTGAGATGGGCATTTTTATATTTAAAAAAAAAATCTTTAAAATTATATTGTGTGGACAATGAGTATACGAAGCCAAAGCGAATCCACTATCAATAGTGGTTTATAATTAAAAAATGAATAAGCGAGAATTTTCTTTGGTAAGAAAATTTTGTATCGAAAGCTATCGGCAAATTATTTTTCCATCTTTTTTTAAAAAGAAATTTATAAACTTTAATACTTATTATTTAGAATATTTATATTTAGAATAATATAGAAATAAAACAAAAATTTAAAAAATATAAAAGTATAAACGGAATTTTGATAACATTTGAAATATATTTATTTGTGAAATCTACATTATTCAGACGGACATTTTACTTTTTTAACGATATATGCAAAAAAGTAAAATATAACGTAATTTTCTTTATTTTCAACGCATTAAATCGAAAAGCAATGCGGCATTTGCATTGATTACAACACATCGAGATTGCGCGAAAACTCGTTTCTATTTCTGGTTCTTTCTTTCTTTTTTTATTTATTGTACATGTTTGTGAAATAAGAGCGGAAATATCTACGTAATTTAACGAATTTGGCATGATATAAAATATAAGTTAACGCATTTTCAAATTCCGAATTTCGTCAATATTTTTTTACCGATGAGCTTTCGGAAATCGTAAATTGCGTCGGTATGTAAAAAAAAAAGGGAAGAAGAAAACAAAGTACATGCAATCAGGCTGTGTAATGTTTAAAATTTTCGAAATGTTCTAAACATAATTTTGAACTCGCATTTTTATGCACATTTCATTCGCATTCTATTTCATAAGAATAACGTTGCTCGTTGACCATTTGTCTTGTGATTAGAATTACGTGACAACACACACACATACACACACAAACACACACACACACACAGTGGTGCACCCATGGGGGGGGGGGGGTTTTCGGGGTTAACCCCCCCCTCCTTTCCCTCCCGAAATTTAATTAATACTACCTTTATTTTTTTATTAACTTAACAGACAAAAAGTAAAAATCTGTAGTTAAATAAAATGCGTTCAAGCATTCGTTATTTTTGTCTGTTATTAACTATAGTCACAATTTTAATAATTCAAAATTCACGCCAATATTCTTGCACACAAATAATTATGATAGCTTTTCCAGCTATACTGCTGTTCGAACGTATATAATATCTACTTTAAGATATTCATATTATGAAAGGATTTAAATAAGTTACTTAAGAAACATCTAGCAGCCATATATATATACATATATATATACTGATTTTTTAAGCTGATTATTAAGCAATTCAGTTAATCTGATTATTTAAGAAAAACCTAGAAAACTCGATATCAATTTATAATTATGCTATTATAAAAATAAATTGTATTTTTTATTAAACGATGTAACATTTTTATACTTTTTAGTGTGCGGTATAAAATTATCCCGACTTTTGGTTATACTGTTTCATTTTGTGTGTGAATTTTAACCCCCCCCCCTCCGCGAAAAAATATCCTGAGTGCGCCACTGCATACACATACACGTATACGTACATATAATATATATATATATATATATATGTAAGCGCGTTTGGGAAAAAGGTTTGAATATAAAAGGATTGACAAACGCGCACTACATTTGTAAAAACGATGTAAAAACGCGTCGGGGGTTTATATAGTCTGAGAAATACTTTATTCCACCAAAGTAAATCATATAGTACAACTCTTGAACCATTTATTTGCTGTTAACGTAAAACTCCGAAAAGAAACTCGAAACGACGGTAAAATTCAGTTTTAAGAAGCGGTGTTAAAACTGCAATTTTACTGAGAAGTTCCAGGATCTTTTCGCAGCAGATCAGACATATAGGAAAAATCTCTTTATTAACGACGTTTCGTCGACGACGATGAAGTACAAATACAGTAGAAATCAGCTTTTATATACACACGTTATACGTTATAAACATCGGGATTAGTCGCAGGTGCTGCTGTTAGATAACGATTTTTGTATTCGATTCGTAATAATTTGGATTTAACGAAACTCAGACTTAAATAAAGGAAAAAAAAAAAGATATAACACTCCAGGCAGCGTACATAAAAAAGAAAAAAAAGAAGCAAAATCTGAGTGTAGATTTAAAACCGATTGTCTTTCTATCGTCTATACTGCTTTCTAATGTATACAGAGAAGATTACGCGTTCATAGAATTAGATACGTAACTAGTATCGTTGCGTGGCGAATATGTGTATAATATAAGGAACATAAGTAACTTAAACGAGTAATATACACGTACGCATGCACGCACAAAAACTCACACACACAAACACACACATACACACTAACTCGGGGTCGAATGTGTAATTATTATGCAATTGACTGTCGAGATCTATGGTTTTCTTTTTGTTAGATTAATTAGGCGAAACTATTATAGGCATTGATAATTTTATTAGCGCGATAGCATGCTAATTATTAGTATTATGTTGTCGGACTAATTTTTGTACAAGGCTAGACTTCTGATATGATGAAACAATTGCGCGTTTTATTTCCCGCAACGACGAATTAGATTTGAATGATACTTGAAATACTTTATAAGACCGAAAAAAAAAGAAAAGAAACGAAAAAAAAAGAGAACGAAAAGGATTTGAAATATTTTTCGCAGTGTTTTATTCATAATAAATTATAATTATTTCTAACAGTTAGTAAAAATAGAACATTCTATATGTTCCAGTGGAAACTTTAAATGTGTAATAAACAAATATATTTATTGTATAATACATACATAAATGCATACATACGTATGTACATATATATACATACATGCATAAAATATATATATATGGTGGAATACAAAAGTTTGCGGTCAGATCAATTTTTCGTTGCGTTTACTGAAAATAAAATTTCAAGAAATTGTGATTAATATCGATTTAAAGTGTAAAACAAACGTGAAAAATAATAAGCAAGCTTCCTTTTTTATTCATTGTGTGTTTATTCACGAAATTTTCAAACTTGTATTTAAAAATGTCCGATCTTTCTGATTTAAAAAATATATATAGTGTGTATTAATGTGTGTAATATATTTTATAATATTTTGTAATATTTTTTCTCAGGGTTAAATGGATTTTGCTTTTGCCTCCATCTGTTCTTTAACATGTTTTCTTACAAACTAACTTACATATTCACTTACATGCTCCTTCCACTATGCTTTAAAATCGAAATTTGATATTTAATGTGATTATCATATGCTGAAAGGAAATTATTACAAAACTGTATTTTTGATAATTTCAAGCACCATCAAAGTTGGTGAAGTTACGATTATCATAAAAAACAGGAGTGTCTTAAATTTGTCAGCTCAGTCTTTAGATTTAAATCCGACTCGGCGCTTATCGAATTGAATTAACAATTATAAATACGCTAAGACTCAATTATTTCATTTTTTTTTTAACAAAAGAGAGAAATAACAATAATTAATAATAGTTGAAGGCTCTTCTATTATTTTATAATGGGATAAATAATATAAAGCAAATAGACTCTAGAACAATCCGAATACGGCCAATCAATGGATTCACATACTACCGTCATTCTACGAGTTGCGTTTTAATTGTATTACGTTTTAATTGTATTCGTTAACTTTTCCTTACACTGAAGATGGCCGAAACCGATGGCCGAAACGTTTGACCATATCTAAAAGCGCTAAGATCATATATAAGCGTTTAATGTTAAAATAAATGATTGAGCACTGAGATCCAGCTACGGCCCTATTTGCTTTATATTATTCTATTATAAAAGAGAGAAATAAAACTTTTCCCGATTTTAATAAGCATTTAATTGAATATCTTCTTGCTGTGTAATCACAGCAAAAAGTATGACCATGAAAGATTAATAATGAAATATTATTCACATTTTAAATGTATTATTATGTAAATTGCACACTCTATGTTTTTCGTGAAATTAAATGGCGAAATAAGAAATGGATAAATACACAAGTTTGAAAACTTTGTAAATACATAATGATTAAAAATTAGTGCTTGTGTGCAATTTTTCTTGCTCATAACTGATATTAATCACAATTTCTTCAAGCCTCGCTTCCCATCGATACAGCGAAAAATTGATTTTTG